CCATTACTAGTCACTTACATCTTCCTCTACAAAGAAGCCACAGCAGGGGAGCTGAGGGCAGCGGCAGGGAGAGGCTGGAGCCTGTGGCCTGGAGCAGCCCTTCCGTGGGCTCCTACAAGGCACCGGCCTCCCGCCTCACAACAACCTGCAAACATTCTGCAGATGGTTCCTTGTGGCCTGTTTTTAAGGAAAGAGACAGGTCCACTTTCTAATACTGTATTACTGAGACACCTCCAGATCCTCCACTCTGTTCCTTCCTCTTCCTCCAGCGGCATAGTTTCTCCTGAAGCACACATAAGCTCTGGGAGGCCGACAGCCATTTCTCATACTCCGGGTCCACCCAGGAGGCTGGCAGAAAGTGTGGAGGGCAGGCTGGGTCTCGCCTCCCTCTTCAGGCTCTGCTGTAAGAGAGGCCGTGCGGTGGAGCATTGGAAAGCAGGAATATGAGCTCACACTCAGTAATCCAGCTGAGGGCGACAGAAATTCAGAAGCATCTATGTCCACACCCCATCCCCCAGCCCACCTCCTAGAGGCGGAACAATTTTTGGGGAAACAAAAAGACCCTCACTCAAATCCTAAGGGCTGTGTAACTACAGGACTGTGGCAGTATCTGCCTCACCAGGTTCCTGAAGGCGTAAATGAGGACCTACTAGGTGAATGTTAAGATTTTTAAAAATGTATTACAATAAAAGACACATTGTCATTAGTCCCCTCAAATCCTCCCCCGAACTCCGAACACTTCTCCCATTGTTCTTGCCGCTTTCTGAAGCAGTCCCGGAAGTTCTCTTTCGTGAGCATCTTTAGCTGCTCGGTCATGGCTGCCTCCATGTCTTCAATCAAAACATTTACCTTTCAGGGTCAATCTGACTTTGGGAGAGAGCTAGAAGTCACATGGTGACAGATCCCTGAATAAGGCTAATGAGGACACACTGTATGTTTTTACTTGGCAGAAATTGCCGGAAATATTTGATAAACATGGGGCGTTCAAAAAATACAGTGAATGTTTAGATTTTAAAATGTATTCCAGTAAAAGACACATTGCCATTAATCTCTCTCAAGTACTCGCCCTCCCTTCAAATACACTTATCCCACTGTTCCTGGTGATGTGCCTTTACTGTAATAAGTTTTTTTAAGTTTAAATATTCACTGTATCTTTTGATCAACCCTTGTATACAAAGCGTATAGCAGTGGGCCGGGGATTTAGCTCAGTGGTTCTGCCGCCTGTCCCTCAAGCACAAGGACCTGAGTTCGATCCCCGGTACCAAAACAAAACAAACAAAAAAAGAGTGTGGCAGTAACTGGGCGCAGTGTCTTGGCATCCCGTCACCACATCAACCCTCTCGTTCTGACCCCACCCAGTCCAGAGCAAAGTGGAAAGTTACCTCTCTTTAGAAGCGAACATAAATGTGCATCAGATCCCATCACCCAGTCTCCTCTAAATTTCCTACATCAAGGACTAAAAGGTCTAATAGATAATGTGAAATAGGAGGAAAAGGGGAAGGGGAAGTGGGAGGGGTAGGGGAAAGGAAAGAAGGGAATGGAATTAATATGAGAAAATGAAACCAAAATCTTTGTAAATAGGGAGGGATGGAGGGGTTGAAGGGAGGGCAGGGGAATGGGGAAAAAATAAGAACCAAGATGGATTATGTAAAGGTACAAATTTCCAATGATGAATGTTATTATATTGTATACCTAAAATGTACCAATAAAATTAATTTTAAAAAAAGAATTTCAATTTTAGAGAGCCCAGAGCTAAGTCAACCTGAAATTATTAAATAAATTCACTCCCACAATTTAGTATAAATATGCAAAAAAAAATAAGTTTCCTACACCAGACGAAGACAACGCTGTGTCCACACCAGAAATCTCCCAGTGCGTATGCTGTGTTCAACACCAAAGTGCAAATGTGGGCTGGGAAGGATGTGTAAATGTCAGGAGAAGTTCGCTTGTAAAGGCTGCCTGAATGCCTGAGAAGTATAAACGGAGATGACATTCAGACCAGGCAGGAGGTGGAGCTGGGAAGGGGAGAAGGGTGCTGGCAGGGACAGGGAAGGATGTGGGGCAGATGCTATCAGCATTGAGTGGCAGGTGGATCCAGGAGCTCGGGTGCCAGGGCTGGGGCCTAGGGAGCCGACCACAGAGCTGAGAGGGGTGGAACAGAGCCAGGCCCCCAAGCAGCTGGGTCCTGCTGAGCTTTGAGGAAGACACACAGGAAGTCAGAAACCTGTAATGCATCTCACTTCAGAGACCCAAAACAGGGCTGAAGGCAGACCCGGGTGCAGAGTGGTACCTACGCTTGCGGCCAAGCAACTAAAGGTCACAGCCAAACGCAGTAAGGAGGCTATGGAGTCACCAATCCCGAGTGGAGCGGAGCTGTAGGCCACAGTGCTGGTATCCAGTGAGGACCCCTCCACCGGGCGGGCCTGCAACCCCGTCAGGTCTGGGACCAAGGGGAAAAGGGCCACACAGGCCCGGACAGAGGGCTCTCCCTCCTTCTTACTCCTACACTGATGATTTCACAGATTAGTTCACTGTCATACAAACCAAGAGGGAGGTGCTGTTACCATCACAGCTGACACATGAGGAGACCCAAAGGTCACCCAGCAGGACAGAACTGGGGTGGGAACCCAGGCAGCCTGGCTCCCCTACCCAGCTTCCTGCCACCACCCTGCTCCACTGCCGCCAGCTCCTCCAGGGAAGAGGGACCCCTACCCCGATCCCCACCCAGCCACTCTTCTCAGGGCTGCTGCCATGCACAGGTCGGGTTGGCAGAGGGGGAGGAAATCACCTGAGCAGCCTGGCTGGGTCCCAAAGAAGATGGCCCATGAATCCCATGGAGGGCTCATTCCTGTGGGCTCAGCTTGGACAGTCCCTGGAAGCTGCCCCTAGCACACAGGGAATCTGGAGCATGTGTTCTCCGACAGAATAGTGGACACCCAGGCTAGGGATGGGAGGCCCAGGACCATAAACCCCAGGAGGTATCTGTTCGGGTGAACACGAATATCTGGCTCAAGGATAGAAATTAAATACCATCAAACCCCAGGCTGCTTCAGAGCCCTCCAGGGCTGGTTGCCTCTCTGAGCCTGGGGAATCCTCCAGCCTCCCTGGCCTTCTCCCAGGACCCCAAATCCCAGCCAGGTTCTCAGTGTGCCCAGGAGCTGCTGGCTGGTTTTGGTGTCCTGTGCTTACTGGCACACGATCCAGCATCGTTCACAGGCAGGCTGCAGCTGGCCAGGGATCCAGAAAACAGAGCTGTCTGAATCTCAAGGCAAAAAGCCCCTTGAGTGGTCCTCAGTTCAGGGTTCAGCCTGCAGGAGCTCCCTCCGGAAGCGCAGGTGCCTCCCAAAGACTTCTTAGGGACAACATTGCTCGCAGATCCTCTCTGGCAGGGAGTGCTTGCTTGCATCTGACTTCAGTCCTTCTGTGGCCACCCTAAGAATCCACTTTGTCACCTCCCAGGAGGCCACATCATCAGGACACCAGGAGAGCCGGGTCTAGGACCTGGGCAGAAGCTGGCCCAGGCACTCTGACACTGGACAGCATGCTGACCTCTCCCGGTCTCAGTTTCCCTGGTCCTGTGAGGGGCACAGGACCCTGGGGCATCTACAACACAACAGGCATCGGGCTCAGAGCAGCGTCTGTTATGGAGAAGGCCCTCAGCGAACAGTGGCCACTGTCTGACGGGCAACAGTTGTCGCAGCTGTTGATGGCACTGCCATCATGGCCAAGGCCATCTTGCCTGTTCCTCGGGGGGTGCCATGAGTGCCAGTCTCAGAGAGGGGACTGCCAAGGACAGACTGCTGTCCCTCCTCTATGGGGAAAGCCCTTGCCTCCATTCCCGGACATTTCAGGAACCGCCCACAGCAGCTGACCAGGGCACGACAGAGCCATTGGGGTCCCTGAAAGGCTTGGTGGAGGACGCTGGTCACCCCTCCAGGCTGGGTGCCTGGCTCACACAGGCTGCCCCCACCCTGGACGTGCCTGCATCCTCTCTAGGTAAAGAAGGATGAAGCCCAGAAAACAAATCTCAGCTACAGCACTCCCGGGGCAGAGATGCTTCTAGAACAGCCCCTGCTTTCTCAGCCTGCAGGAGGGGCAAGAAGCAGGCAGGGCATCCACAGGGGCGGGGCCAGGTGTCCTGGTTCTGCCCAGGTGTCCCTGGAGCCCCTCCGCCTCCTCCTCCCAGAGCCCGGTGCACTGCACTCAGGGCAAACAGCCTTCAGTGCTCTCGGTTTCTGCCCTGGAGGAGGCTGGGCCCTCTGGTTTGAGCCAGGGAAGAAATGCTCCTCCTGTAACCTGGGACGGGTCCATCCTGGCCCTGATGCAGCTTTCTTGGATCAAATAGAGTCACAGAGCCTTCAACCCCCCAAAAAATGTTAGTCACTGAGTCCAAACCTCTGCCTCAGGGGCCCATAAGGAAGGCAGGACCGACGACCCCTCTGCTGGCCTCTGGCTTCCCCTTGTCCTCCTGCAGCACAAAGTGACAGAAATTCAAACACTCCTGAACCAGAACCTGTTGTCGCCAGATGCTAGCTGAGAGCAAGGGACTATTCTCACCTCCTCCCAACCGGCAGCTCCAGCATTCCTGGCTGGCTTGGGGGAGCCCTGAGCCCAGGGCTGAAGGACAGACAGAGAGGCTGACCCAAGAGAGGCCAACCCACAGAGAACAGAGGCTTGGCAATGAGACTCACACGCCAAGCTCGCCCTCCCCTGTGCTCCACGGCCCCTCACTGTCCCAGACACCTCTGTTCCTCAGACCAAGGAGCTCCACCATGCCAGGGCTCGGAACGTGCTCCTGCCCTCTTCGGCTCTCGGAGGGTACAAGGCGGCCTGCCTGCCCTCTAGCCTGGCTGCTTCGTATCCAGACCCAGACTCCAAACCAGTCCATTCTGGCCAGAAAGCTCTTTCAGACCTCACACACAACGCCATCTTCGTGTGCACAATCCTCACGCTGCCACATTGGAGGGAGGCCGAGGAGCAGGCACAAGCACCCATCCTACCTCTCCGGAAGGGCACATGGCCTGGCTGGTCCAGGGTCTCCTCAGGCACTCTCCTCGGGGACAGGCAGGGATGGAAAGCTGGCATTTCGGGGCCCCCAGGCCATCCTAGTGGCAGACTCAGGCCTAAGCAAAGTCCTGCTGAGCCGTCTCCCGTGGATGCTGGCCTCACAGCAGATGCAGCGGCCCTGCCCAGAGTGGGGTCACATCCTTCCCAGTGCCCTGCTCCTGGCCAGCCCCCACTCGCCACCCCCCCAGCCCTCCTGGCATACACAGGGCTTTATTATCTCAAGCCCACCATGTCCTCCGAGAGTGCCATGAATGGAACTCCACACAATGCACTTGTGTATTAATAACCACACGTCCCCTCCCTCTGCCCGGCGCTCTCTCACTCACGGCTGGGTCCCCCTCGTGCATAATGAAGGAGTTGTGTGGCCCGTGACACAGCCGGGCTGCGCTCCTCGGGCAGTGAGGGGATAGACAGGGGGAGGTACCAGCCTGGGCCAGGCTCCTGCGGCGGGGTGGTGCGAGGTGCGGACCCCTCCCCATGGGACTTGACGTCATGTTTTGTGGGGGAGCACAGCGCAATGGTACTGGCCTGCCCCACTCCCACGTCCCACAGGAGCCCAAGCCAGGGACGGCAGTCGGTCTTGTAACACTGAACACCCACCCGTCCTGCCTGAGGCTGCGGGCCAGCCTCCCACTGGACAAGGGCTGCCTCAGCCTCAGTACACTGGTCTGCTTCTGCCTGAGGCCTGGGGACAAAGCTGTCCTCCACCACTCGATTACCTCTCCACCCTTGCAAATTTGCAGGCTAAGTATCACTAGGCCCTCAAGGGCTCCCAGGAAATGACTTCCCCTGGCTCTACCTTCCTGTCTCCTCCCTGATGGGTGGACATCAGCGGGTCCGGGTTCCCCACGGCGCAGGCTGGCTCGTCTCCCCTCCTGCAGGGCAAGTCTGCGTCACTGCCTTCTCAAGGGAAGTCGGGATGGACTTTTAAAAATCTTATAATATTTTATGCCCTTTATTCCATAAATTACATTTCTGGAAGTGAATCTTATAAATGCTCAAGGATAATCAGAATATTTAAGTCACACATGTGTTCATCAGAATGGGGATGTCCCCAGAATCCATGCAACACTGGTTCCAGACCCCCAAGGATGCGGACCTCCATGGATGCTCAAGACCCCCGCACAAAATGATGTCATAATTTGCAAAAAACCTACGAACATCCTCCTGTATAGACCTTGAATCATCTGTAGATTACATACAACACTGAACACAGTTAAATAGTTGATACATGTATTATTTAGGGAAAACTACAAGAAAAAAGCCTGTACATGTTCAGTACAGACACAACCTTTCTTTCAATATTGGATGAATCCACAGATGAGGAACTCACAGATATAGGGAGCTAACTATATTTTTATAATGGTTAAAAAAAGGAAACAACTGAAACAGCTATCACTAAGGGAAAGATGCACACACTATGTATGCCATGTGTGTGGTTTGAGACAGCAAGAAGGTGGGGAAAATTATGAGCTCTGGAGCCAGACAACCTGAGTTCAAAATCTGGCTCTATTTTTTATTAGCTGTGTTACCTTGGGCAAGTTACTTAGCCTCTCTGTGCCTCAGTTTCCTTATTTGTATAGTTGGGATAATCACAGTATCATCTCAAGTTACAAAGGTTCAATAAATGACCGCACCTGCTACATATGGTAAATGCTTTTTTAAAAAGCCTAAATTCTTACTGTCATAAGCAATGAAATGTAGTTATTAAAATGATGAAATAATGTAAGAAAAACTTTGGGTGGTACTGGGAAGTGAATCCAAGGCCTTCATACTGAGCTATGTACCAGACCTTCTATTTTTTTATTGTGAGGCAGGGTCTCACTAAGTCTCTAAGTCGCCCAGGTGGGGCTTGAACGTGTGATCCTCCTGCCGCAGGCTACCAGAGTGCTGGGATTACAGGCCTGACCATGCATGGTCTAGTACAATATTTTAATAAAATGAAAGTTAAGTGAAAAAAAGATTACAAAACTAGAATGACTGAGCAGTGAAATTCTTGGGCAGCAAAATTATGGATGATTTGCATTTCTCCTTTGTGTTCATATTTTCTACATTTTCTAGAAAGACACAAATTACTTTTGCTACCAAGAAAAGGGGCATGCAGGGGTACGGCGTGCAGTGTGCAGGGTGGCCACTGGCAGGGATGCAGCCCTCTACAGGACACACCCACCCCATCTGTGCCCACGCTGAGCTTGGGGTCAGTGCCCAGTCTCAGTCCGGGCTCTCCCCAGCCTCACACCCTGCCCCCAGCCTGGCCTTTCAGCAGGGCTGCTGCTGGGCCATTCAGATGACCTGCAGCTGGGCTGCAGGGGGTAGGGAGACCCCAGCACCTGCGCCTGCGATTCCCCTCCTGTCCTTGCCCATGGGAGCTCAGCTCTGTGTTGGAGGCCACGGCTCTGCAGGGCCCCAGGTTTTCTCCTCAAGCAGGCAGCTGCACCAGCCCATCTGTAGTCACAGCCCCTCCTCACCCCAGGGAGCCTGACTCCTCTGTGGGATAGGAGAGGGGAGGGGTGGCAGCCAGAAAGAGAGATGTGGAGGGGAGAGAGCTGCTGGGCAGGCCTGAATGTGGGTCACATTCGCTGAGGACAGCAGGTGCCATCGCAGAAGGGCCGCAGTAACAGCTGGCGAGCCTGGAGGAGCTCCAGGCCAGCCTAGCCAGGGCTCCCCACCACTGCCCAGCCCCAATACCTGCCTGTGGGTGTTTCTGTCCCTGTGTGCGTGCCCTAGCGGCACCCCCACACACAAGGTCTGGGGTGCCAAGTTCAGAACACTGCTCTTCCACACCAAAGCAGATCGGCAGTATAATGACTTGGGGGACTGCTGACCCTTGTGACCAAAGGCTGCCTGCAGGGACAGGGGACAGGTGAGCTGACCAAGCTGTGGCTGCAGCCCTCCTGCCCTCCACGGTTGTCTGGAACTGAGACCCAGGATGACACAGGGCTGGGAGCAGCTGTGGAAAAGCAAGTCATTTCTAAGTGGGCCTGTGAGGACAGCATAAGCAGCCCCTAGCAAGGCCGTGGGCTATCCCTGCTCAGGTGGGACTGCCGTGCATGTCTGTCTGCTGTGCCCGTGTGTGATCATGTGATTGTCAGCCTGTGGAGGTGTGAGTGTGCAGGATAGTGGTACCTCAGTTCACAAATGCTCATTTGGAAACAATTTGGTCCACATACAGAAGCAAAATTTTGTTTGCGAACTCTGCATCAGGTGACACATGTGGCCATCTTTTCCACACAAACACAAAGATGGCCATCTTTTCCAAATTCATAGAACAAATTAAGTTTGTGAACGGAGGTACCACTGTATGTGTGTGTGAGTATGCATGTGTGTCTCGGGAAAGGTTTCAGTGCCTGGGTATGTGCTCTGGCTACGTGTGTGTGAAAGTGACTCAAACAACTTTTTTGGCTTGTGGGCATGTGTCTATCTGTCCCAACATGTCTGTCTATCTGTCTGTCTCTTAGCTGTGTACCTTTGTGTGACTCAGTCTGCACCAGTATCCATATGTCTTAGAATGCAAGTAGATGCTCAGTACATGTGTGTGTGGTTGGCTTTATAGGTTGGCAGTGTGTGTGTGTGGAAGCAGAAGCTGGGCAAAGTGGGCAGTCCCATGATCTCCCTGTTGTTGTGAATGCTCTCCACTTGGGAACAACCCTGAACGACTCTTCCACATCCAACCCTACCATGGCTCCCTGTTCTGCTGAAAACAATCCAGTCCCCTAGGCTAATGTCTAAGGGCCTCTGCTCAGCATCCAGTTATCTGACCACACATGACTTTATGAGGTCTGTTGCTCTGATTCTTAGCTTGGAGCTCCCCTTCCCCTTCTCTCTCTGACAGACTTCTTTCATCCCCCAAGACCCAGTGCCATACTTCTTCCTCCAGGAAGCCAATCCAGCCCTCAGGTGGCCATGGAAACCACCCCCCTGGATTCCAAAGCACAGGAGATACACCCCTCACTGAGCACTGGTTCTGCTCTCCTCTCAGTGTGGTGACATGTGCAAACTTCTCTGCCCACCAGACCTTGACTAACTGCTGTCAGGGAGTCCATCCTGTCTTTGCAGTTTCCCAGGTGCCTCACCTGATGTCTGGTACACAGGGGACCACAGGAAACATTTACTGACCTAGACACTTGAGTTTAGCTATACAGCACGAGGGAGATGCAAACAGCAGCCACTGCTTTGGCCTTTAGAGCTAGCAGGTGTGAGACATGGGTCTGAGAGTGGCCAGCCTTGGTGTGCTCTAGGGCTGGAAATAGCTTTTTCCCCTCTATGTACCAAGCATTTGCCTCTGCAGGAGCCTCTTCAAGGTCAAACAGGAGAGCTCTGCCAGTCTCTGTCCTCATGCAGCATGGTTACCTAAGAACTGCCCTCTCTCAAGGGCCTGGCATGACTCCAAGGGCCCCATCCACACTGGAATTCATGTCCAACTCCTGCAGCCAAGATGGCATCAAATTACCAACTTTCCTTTAGCCTTGACCACCCTCTCTGCCCAACTATGCACATAGGTTCAAGCTCCTCTTGGGTGGGCTGAGATTTAGCACTGTGAAGATACAGCTCATCCTGCCTCACATTCCAGCCAGCTCTCCAGCCTCCAGAGCTGGCCAGTCCCTGAGTGCCACTGATGCAAAAGGAGGCAGGAAGCTCTCCCTGGGGCCTGGGGCCACCAGGCAAAGATGTGCATGCTCACACTGCCCTTCAAGGGGTCAACAGTGGTGGCTCATAATTTGTAGATGATCTACCAGAAAGGTTTTACGAAAGGGCTGGCCTACCAAATGTTGTGAAGGAAATGTACCATTGCCTGGAACTCATCTGCTGCTGGTAGAAGAGCAAACTGGCACAGTCACTTTGGAAACCAGTTTGACAGTGTGCACCAAAGCTGAACGAACTTGTATCCTGTGACCCAGCAGTTCTGCCTCTGGGAACTGATTTAATAGAAATCAGTATGTATGCCCATAAAGATGTGTTCAGGAACGAATGTAATCCAATTCATATGAAATTGCAAGCAGCCCAAATAGCCAAAATGATCTTGAAACAGAAGAACAAAGTAAGAGCGTCACATTTCCCAATTTCAAAACTTACTACAAAGCTATGGAAATGAAATCAGTGTGGTAGCAGCATA